ATATTGACAATGGAACAACAAGTCATATTACAGATGATGACACACTTTTCAAGTCGTTTCAGCATTTTTCTACTACATATATAGTAACTACTGTCAATGGAGTTACTGTTATGGCTGTGGGAAAATGTGCAGTTGACATAGATGCAGTAGAGGTTAGTGGAAAGTGGGAAAAGCTTATCCTGTGAGACGTGTAGTATTTTCCAAAGATCCATAAGAATTCATTTTTTGTTCGTGCTGCACAAGATAAAAATCCTGAGAGTTTATTTATATCAACACCACTGGTATGTAATTTTAAAATTGATGAAGTGGTTATGTTGGTTGGTGTACGTGAACGTTTTGGAGGTTTGTTCAAGTTAGCTATAAAAGGACTCAGATCGCAGTTACCCACTGAGGTAAATTTAGCCAGTCAAGAAAATGTGCTTCAGTTATATCAGGAAAGGTTTAGTCACTAAAATAAGAGACACGTAAAAGACCATTAATGTGGAGATGGATTCTGAGCTGTGTGAAGTTTGTATTTTTGGTAAAGCTTCTTGGTCTACCTTTTGGAAGTAGGAAGAGAACATTAGCACCAGGAGAGCTAATTCACACAGATGTATGGTCGTTTTCAAGAATCAGTGTCTAGGTATCGCTATTTTGTTTTGTCTAAAGTCGATTATACAAAATTCCGATCAATTTACTTCATTAAGGAAAAGTCAGAAGTGCCGAAAATTAAAGAAATTTTGAGTGACAATGGCGAAGAATTTATTAGTAAGGCTATTAAAGAAATTCTTAAAAAGCAAGTTATAATTCAACGTTTCATAATGCCTTATACTCCTGAACAAAATGGTTGCACTAAAGGGAATATCGCACCGTTGTAGAAATGGCTAGAGCAATGATGTATGTCCATGGTCAGATTCCTCAATTGGTTTGAGCTGAAATGATTAATCCAGAATCATATATCTTGAATTGCACAGGAGTTTCTAGTGATCCTGAGATTTTTGAAGAAAAATCACTTCTAGAAAGAAAAACTGTATCAATTCCTTTGGATATTGATGATCCTGAAAAGCTAGATGCAATAATTGAAAATAAAGAAGAGTTTTATGATGTTCATGAAGATGTGCTAGAAGATTCTGAAGATGTTATGAAGCATGGAGGAGATTCTGGAAGCCTGAATCAAAAAATTCCAGGACTTCAACCGCGTGATCGTTCTATAGTAAACTGTCCTCACAGATTTCAAGATTATGTTATGGCCTCAACGCTTAGCGAACCAGATACTTATTATGAAGCCATACATTCAGATCAATTGGATGATTGGAAAGAAGCAATGAATCAAGAAATGGAAGCTCATCGATAAAATAAAATTTTGGTTCTAGAAGAATTACCATCGGGAAAAGAACAACTCCATGCAAATAGGTCTACAAGGCTAAGACTAACTCTGATGGATCAATTGATAAACTTAAAGCCAGATAAAGGTTTCTCACAAGGGAAAGGCGTTGATTATGATCCAACTTGAGCCCTGTTGTAAGAACCTCTACAATCAGAACTCTGTTCAGTGAGAAGGTGAATTTTACTCATATAGATATATCGACTGCTTTTCTAAATGGGAACTTACAAGAAACTATTTGCATGAAGCAACCTGATGGATACAATGATGGTTGTGGAAGTGTGCCTATTGAAGAAAAGTTTATACGGCTTAAAACAGGTACCCCGTTGTTGGAATGAAGAGTTTAGTTTACAATATTAATGGTTTGGGATTCCAGAGAAGTGAAGCAGATCCATGTCTGTTCGCGAAACAGAGACACTTGCTAGGTTTTCTTTGTTCCTTATGCAGATGATGGGTTGATGGCTGCCAATAGTGATCAAGAACTTCAGGATGTCATTAGAGCACTTGAAATGGGATTTAAAATCACTTCAAAGCACGCATCGTTTTACTTAGATTTCGAAATTAAAAGGGAGGATGATGGATCTATACGAGTAACTCAAGCTAATTACATGAAAAAGATTTTGTATATGCTGTTGGAGTAGTATAACGAAGTTTAGAGAAGCCAACACAATGTGATGTAGTTAAAACTAATGGAATTTTTCAGTATCTGAAGGGTACTGCCGACTTTGGAATTACATACAGAGGTGAGTAACAATATACTCACATGCTAGTGATGCAAATCGTGGAGGTGACCTTGAGACAGGAAGCTCGACATCAGGAGTACTCTGTCTTTATGCCAGCACACCCATTAGTTGGTTTAGTAGAAGACAACCTTCTGTAGCCATCTCTACTACTGAAGCCGAGATTGTAGCAGCTAGTGAGATTGTTTGGTTAGGGACTCTTAAATGAACTTTGAAGTGAACCAATAAAAGCACATTTGTTAGTTGGCAACGAAGCAGTAACTCGCCTAGCTGTATATCCTGAGTTTCATCGCAGAACGAAACACATCCGCGTAAGACATTTTTTTGTTCGAGAATTTGCAGAATCTGCAGAATATAATATGATGTTCTATTCTACTGTTTGTTGTAAGCCCTTTGACTGTTTTCCTACTAGGGTGGTGGTATCCGTGTATGCTTTGTATTATGAACGAAAAACGTGAGTATCGTGATGTGTAGAAGTGTAAGCCTACTAAAACTATTGAATGTGTTTAATCCAAAGAATCACGTTCATCATCAAATTTTATTGAAGATTTTATTTTTTTATACTCTTCACACTTTCTTTTTAATTCAATTTCAGACATCTCTTTATAGATAATACATTTTCTTCATTCATTTTAAAATTACTTCATTTTCTCTTGAACTTTCCTTCCACTGACATTTCTTCGCAATGGCATTCAGAGGCAACAAAATGTATGTTTTGGAGAAAATTCGAGAGTATAAGGTCCTTAGCACCATATAATTCCGCATCACTAATAGGATAAAACGGCTATTTCCTAACGCACAAATATAAAAATATCGTCGTAAATCATGCAACCCTATACGTATGTAGGCTTGTAACAAAACACTGTTCATTTACAATTGTATTACACTACTAGTAAGTTCTGAGAAACAGAAACACTTGTTTCTTGTAGAATTTAACTTGTTAACTACTGGGCATTCACTTATAACTATTAGTTAACTAATTTGATTGTGAAACACGATTACCGCGGTCCTCACAAGTTAACAGTAAATTCACTCAACTTGTGCGAATGATCCATGATTCAATGGCGCCCAGCAGGCGCCCAGCAGGCGCCCAGCAGGCGCCCAGCAGGCGCCCAGCAGGCGCCCAGCAGGCGCCCAGTACACGAGTTTAAGAGATCACTGAACCATTATACTTTGTTTTTTTGACGCGTGAGACCTTACCTTCACGATGGAATATCTCATCTCAAGGGATTTCGAGTTTCCGCGTTGCCTAAAAAGCACGGTTATAAAACTCAATGATAAGCGTGTGTGTGTGTGTGTGTGTGTGTGTGTGTGCCCAAAAAGCTGGCAAAGAGAGGTCGCTGTGAAAAAAGTATTAAATGCCTAACAACTAATTATTTTCAAAAGACTGCCTGTTAAGTTAGTAATACAATACTTGTGATTAGATACGGGATGCGATTCAAACAACTGATATTTTGGTATTGCCAGTGACACAATGAAAATTTGGATTAGTTCCCTGTCGCAGGGACATTGTATGGAATGGGTATGTCACTAATTAGAAAAGCTTGAAATAAAATGAAAGGCAATGACACAATTTATGTGATTTACAGAATAAATAAAAGATAGGAAAGATGTAGCTAAAAATGCCAATAACACGTTATTTTGATTTTGTGGGTTAGTTCCCTCTTCCACTGGAAGTGTTCAATAGTTAGATTGGTTACAATTTCATCAAATGAAGTAGCGTGAATGCCATATAGGCACCCTGCAAGTAAACTTCAGCCAAATCAAATAATAGAACTCAAAACTTGACCACCAATATCTCATTTAGTATTCCACAGATGAGAGAATAAGGAATAAGTAGTGGGAGATAAATTTAGTCTTTTTAACTCTAAAATTTATGTGAGGATAAATTCAATAAAAAATATTATTTTAGTGGGATAAAAGGTGTTACCACTTTAATTGCACACAAGCTACATCAGTTATAAACATAAATAAATCAAAAACAATGTGAGATTAATTAATTGTTCCATAAAATGAAAGTTAACATCGTAATGATATTTATTCATTTTAATGACAGAAGATAGATGCTAGAAGAAAAAAAATTCCAACAATAGCAAGAAAATTAATTGGCTTTTCAGATCTTGTTCACTTCATTAGGTGGCCTAAAAAGGAGAATTCCATCAGTATTCACGTAATCATTGTCTTCAAAATAAATAAGAAAAAAGTCATCATATATGTTATTACCCAGCAACCAAATCTATCTATAATTCCACAGAAACTATTATTATCAACAAACCATCCGCTACAAATAGTATGACAGTAACTTCTTCAAAAGTTTGAGATCAAGACTCATCAAATGTGAGAGTAGCACTACAATACATTTCTTAATACATTACAGAATGGGGTAAATTATGGAGCTGTACACAAAAATCAATGTTTCATTCAAGGTTAACTTTTCTTTTGTTGAGGTTGCTACTATCAGAGCAAGAATGTATGTTAGAGATACCACTTATAATGATGAATAACTCTTCAGTAATGTATCCTTCTCCCAAATTAAGAAATTGCAACACTGCAAAGTTAGCTAGAAATGTTCGCAATAGTTTTACTTGGGAAACATGTCAACAACCTGACGTGTTGCCACAAGTTCCCCACACCACATACTAGATGCATTAATTCAAAAAACCTTTTCCATCATTTTGCAATATAAACTCTAGAACTTTAATTTTTTCAAAACATAATTTGTTACCGAAATTAGATGAGAGATCTCTGAATCTTATAATGAAAAAGTTACACGATAATTGTAGAAAATTAGAATAGGAATTAGGATAGAAATAATCCCTCATGCATGGCATGAAAAAGGAAAATATCCTTCATACAATTAATTATTTTAAGGAAAAAAAAATAATAATTATCCAATTCTAATTTTTTACATGTGCACACATGAACACCCACACACAATCTGCTGAAAATTCACTTACATTAATCTAATAGATTTATCCTCTTTAAGCCACCAATAAAATGAATATAATACAATGACAATTATTAAAGGTATTTGACTAAAATAGAATTAAGTATAACTAAAACAAATGCATTGATAGGAGCATTAAAAAATTGTTCCCTTCAATAGTTTGTACTATGTATTTATCTAACAGGCCAACAGGTTTACATTCATGAAATACATGAATGCATTTGATAAACACATCTGTATTAGTTTTTATGATAGTATTCTTGGCTCATTGGGCATGGACGGATATTTTCATAATAGCATATTTTCAGGTATATGGTCTTTAGATCCCTACAGAAAATATACACTATTCCATTACTTCATAATACTAAATATAATAAAGCTAACAAGTCAGTATCAAAATAATAATGCAATCTCTGGAATCCTAAGCATAATAATTCTTTCCTACAATTCAAAGCTCATTCCTTAGACAATTTATGGGTTAATTTGTGAAATTTTGATTTCGCTATCTGCTGATTCATCAATTAGTACAGAAAAACATCAATGTAATCCTGCATTTGATGATTATAATCACATTCACGGTGAGACGAGCAGTGAAATTTGCACTACTACAAACAAAGCCAGTTTAAATTCAAACAATATTTCCTGCATAACCCATTAATACTTCATAGCATTTCTGTTTAACTAGACAAAGGCACGTTCAGGTAAATACACATGTAGAGAAATATATAATGAAAGATTTCTATACAACTTGTTTAAAGATAGATCCAAGCATCCCCAGAAATGCTGAAATTAAAAAGCATTTGAATTGTAGTCTTAGCAAATACAACATTTTATCAATAAATTTCCAAAAATGTATAAATTGTTGAAAATACATTAACATTTATAGACATATTTTTCAATTGTATGAATTACCAGGCTGCAAAGCAATATCTAATCGTTGACTTAAGAAATTGGTCACACACACAGTGAAGTAGGAAACACCGGGGCTAAGAGATCATCCAACATATTTCCATAACTGCCTGTTGATTATTTGAACAAAACTAGATTTCTATATCATGAACAGAAACTGGTAAACAACACCACATGTAATGCCTCTAACAGTTTATATGTATAGAGAAATTACTATATGAAGGGACCGCTTTGACAGCTACTGCTTGGCCACTGCTGGCAACTTAACTGCAGGCTATGCTCATGCGCTCAATTTGATAGTGTGTGCATTTAGTTATCTTATTTGTAAATGGCTTCATCACTATCTCTTGCATTGCCATTGCCTTACATGATGTTCATTTGTTTCCCGATCTGTCAAACTGGTCCCTTCTTAGAGTAACTCCTCTATAAGTTTGAAAAGTGAAAAGAACTCTTTTTGGCAATATTATTTCCTTAATATTTTTATCGTTTAAAACATCCCTGTCATTTAACATTTCTGAACAGGAACATCACATGTGCAGTTCATTACTGTATTTTTAAAATTTTGTTGTAACTGGCCCAACATAAATTGAGGTGGTTGACATTAAAACGGCACATAGGTCTATAAGCACTTTCTATGCAGAATGATTATTCGTGTTTGCCAGGTTCTTTAGTGCAGGTGGTTGAAGTTTCATTTGTGTACCTTGCAAACTGAGGTTGATACCCAAGTGTGAAAGTAGCTATGCAGTTTGCTAAGAAGCAGGTAGCTGCAACTGTGAAGGCATTATCATTTTTTGTTTCGAATGAAGTATTTATTATTATTATTATTATTATTATTATTATTATTATTATTATTATTATTATTATTATTATTAGAAAATTAGTGATACCAGTGACATAAATGATGCACGAGTTGGTGATGGTCCCACATCAAAAAGCTACATTTCATATTGTAATGGACAAGAATTTTGCTTTAGGAGTTGTAATACATTTTTGATATTTCTCTAGGGGAAGCCCATGTGTAAAAGTAAAACTCCATTCAAGATTATGAATTATGTGCTGATAAAATACCTTGGGAATGGTGATGTTCTCGCACTCACTACAAACTTTGTAGCGTATACCTATTACCAAGGATTTGACATTGATACTACTGAAAAACCTACTTGTCGAGATGTAAATCATAAGAAAGTTGCTGATGTACAACATTTATATTTGAAGAGGATGTTGACTTTATAGAAAATACATTAAGTTCTTAAAAGAAGATTTAAAAAATGAGATTTTTTTCTTTCATGTTCCCCTACTTATTGATGTCAAGCAAAGTTTCATTGTAGCTAACAAAAAGTTTAAGTTTGTTGCGCAGAATGGCATAATCTGTTTTTAAAAGCTACTAGTCACTTTGTATTAAGATTTTATTCTATGTATTTAACATTTTTATTCCATTGTACTACATTAAATTTGTTCTGCATAGAAAGGGCACAATATCACATGCATATAAATTACTGTTTTCAGGAAGCTGGGTTGTTCTTTCATTTTAATGTGTATAACGTGTCTTGAATAGCTACGTTTTTATTTAAGTTATTATATCGTTATCAAAACGCATAAACTTTATATAAATATAAAAACTTTCAACACAGTTTTTCTCAAAACAGCTTTTTTGAATTTGTTCCCTTTTTAGGTCAACCGCCTCAATTATTGGTTGGGACAAAGTCATCATAAAGCAATCATGTTTTGTCTTAAATATTGTATCAAATTTCTATACTATAATATGAACATTCTATCTTATTTTTTGAATTAATAAAGTTTTATAACCAAACAATTAATAAAGTGTACATCAATATTTTTTCTAAATGAAAAATTATGAATTTGTATTTCAAATTCCAGTCAAAAACTAAACATCCATTAAATGATGACTTCATCCTAGTCTACTGCAGAAAGTTTGTGATTTCAATTTTTCCACTTCATCAGTTTTTCTTGAATTCTGATTAAATAATGAGTTATAAACAAATATTTGTTAACATACTTTTGCCAAAACTTCATTCTTCAGTTGAATATGTATTTATTTATTAAAAATTGCTAATTTTCTTGGCAAAAAGTGGAAATAAAGATTACCTCTTAACCCTGGACTCTCTTAAGCATTTACTTTGGGTCAGTGTTACACCCTCAGAACGCAAGAAGGATATTCCTCGGCAATAAAATTAAACAAAGCAAAGTTTACACGGAATAGATTCATGTTAGCCCCAGGAAATAACTAAAAAGACACTGGGCTTGGCATTTGTGGAGATGGTGAACTTCCATTGAAAATTGGGGAAAGCATATTTTGTGGTATAAAGATAAATACTCTGCATGTCAATCTAAGTCTAAACACAGACTGAAATGTGGAGACAAAGTAGTTAAGTAACAAGTTGTTCACATATGGTCCCTCAACATCTCAACAGATTTGCTATGCATTGAAACTGGAATCAATTACATTACAATATGTTCTTATTACATAAATGTAATACTTAATAATTACAACTCTGAATAATACACATTATTCCTTTCAGTTTATATATTTAAAAAAATGTAACAAATGTAAATTATTGTCATATTATTTATAAAGCTACCATTTCAGAATAAATGCAAAAGACAAGAAAATAATTTAATGGATGCAGTCTCATAGTTAAATTCTCTTCTGCCAAAGATGATACTGGCAGGATTTTGTTAATTCAGATATTCTGGATTAATGTTGCATAACTAAAATATATAGTAGAGTGTAACCAGTGTATTTTGGAGGCTACATCTCAGATGGGCTTATACATATTCGGTTTAAATCAACGGTAGAAGGATTATGCCTCATGACTTGTTAAATGGAAGATCTGATTTGGTCCCTTGTTAAAAAAAATTAAGTTTACATTGTAGAACAAATTCTTTGGGGAACACTGACATTTCTTAAGTTATGCAACAGTAAATCAGGATTGGATGTATCTTTATATTTCTCTTATCATGTTTCCAAAAAGGAAAACGTCACTTCACAATTCAGTTGTGATGACAGTCTTCTTCTGCAAAATTGGCTTTGTAGGTGTACATGATGATTCTGATGCTACTAACCAAGGTGACAGCTGATTGAGAGATGGCTGACTACTTGGCGTTGGTCCAGAAGAAATATCCTGAAAAGAAGATTTTCCCCTAAATATTCCAAATTTATTCTTTATAATATTTAAGGAAGGCAAATGTTGCATCTTGTATGAAACAAAAATTCAAATCATGAGAAAGAAAAAAAAAGAAAACAAAAATACAGTGAAACCTCTCTATAACTGGCATGCTCAGGATCTAAACTGATGTCCAAAGGATGTGGTATAAACAGGTTCTGAGAAATCAGAAGTTATCGTCCTGGACCTAAAAATTGTGTTATGAAAAGGTATCTACTCTTCAAATGTGTCTGTTGAGAGTGGTTTCACTTTATTTCTGTATCTACCATTGGAAGAGAATAAGTCTAGTAAGAGTAGTAAGTCTAAAAGAAATTCCAACCCACTAGTGCAATCTTTTAGAAATATGCAAGTACTCACACCTTAGTGACTTAAAAAAGAAATGAGCTATTAAATCAGTTTGAATGAACAGAAAAAAGAAAGAAAGAAAGTCATACGCAAAAAATTATGCCAATTTAAATAATAACAACCCACATCATTAAAGGATAGAAATTTACAATGTTACATGACATTTAACAGAGAAAACATGCTTTTTGAGACTTTTGAATGTAAAATTGTTATTTTCCAATGTTTTTGCAAGAAAATATGTATCCTGTCAGGTAGTCACTGAACACAAACCCAAGGTGAATCTTTTTCTGAATTGTTACACCTTTCATAACAACAATCAGTTTAAACACCATAAAAGATAATATATTTTTAAAATAAAAAAAAGAAATAAAAAATTATTTAAGTCTCCGCAAGCAAAATTTCCCATGCTAAAACACATTTTAATTTCATCTCCTCAATGTCATGGGTTGTTTTTGTTGTTGTCACTATTATTATTAGTATTATTATCCAAATCTACTAAAACTAACTTAAATTTTCATTTCTTTTCATACCTCCTACCCATGTTAAAATTTATTTCAGAGTTAAATATTACAAAACTAGAATCTCAATAACAATTATTTTCCATATTCTTTCATGGCATTGAACTTCTTATGATGATTGTACTCTTTCTCCTTGGAGTCAAAATACAGAAAGGTTAATAAATATTTTGTAATGATCTGACTTCACTGTTTAGCAATATTAAAACAAGACTGGAAGCATCTTTAAATTTCATTGACAGATATTTCGCTGATAGATTTCATGTATCTAAAAGAAAAGTAGTCAGTCAGTGGTTTTAAAGTTAATTTCAAAACTGTTTTAAATTAAATTCTTCTTCACCCATCAAGTGTAGTGGTATAAAGACATCTATCACAGCACAACACCTCTCTCATCAGTCAATTGGAAAGTCACTCTAAAGAATGAAAGAAATATAGAGTGTACACTTACCAAGTGCTAATGTGAACTAAATTATTTACATACATCCTGTCAGTGCAACACATTAAAAATAGTTCCGAAAGCAGAGTACAAGAAATTTTGTGATTTATTCCAACTATTACAAACCTCATCAAGAGTAATCACTAAAACTTTACAAACTCTCAATCAACTCTCAAAGAGAAAAGACAAGACAGATCTAAATGAGATGCACGGGCAAGATTTAGAAATACTGAAGAGGATGAGCATTATACAACCCACACAACCAATTTTGAACTGACTCGCATCTCAAGTACATCGGAGGCAAAAGTATGAAGATCAAGTGATCTTCAAGAGTGAAGATCAAGATCAACTACAATGGTGAGTAGAGATTCTACTCTTACAGCTATAAAGAGACATTTGTAAAACTGGACCAACAAAGACAATTCTGTTTGTTCACACATTAACTCTCAAGTGGTAACAAAAATTTTATTACATTATTGGTAACAGGGTCACTCAGACACTACATAGAGATCACAATTTCTTCACACACTCCTTGCAGAACTTCTTAGACCACTCCAAGGAATTTGGATCAGGACCAACAGCTGACTTTGGCAAGACACAAAAAATCAAATAAACATGACACAACCTTGGTTGCTTTATGAGAGAATGAAATATTATTTGAAACACGTGAAAAAACGTTTTACTCTGAAACAGAACGTCCCAAAGACAGTGCGAAAAATATTCTTAGATTTACAGCAATTTAAGTTGCTGAGATCTTCTTGGCAAATTTACAAGTAAGAAAAATTTCAGAATGATGTTATGACATCAAAGAAAGACTCAAACAACACATAGCTTGGCATTTGAAATTGCAACGTAACCAGTGGTTTCTACTTGTCTTGTAAAACAACCACAATTTTTCTGATTGTTTCAAGTATGTATGACAGATCCTGATAGCCAGTTTTCGATAGTACAAAGAAAGAAATCAATATGGAAGAAAGGATAGTTTTCAAATAATGAAACAGCTCAGGTTTTAAAAATGTATGTCAACACTTCAACAGTCACTGATGACACTAACAGTATTCCTGAACCAACATTAAACAGAATCCTCAAGAAATTTCTGGATACTGCCACAATGGAAAAAGGCAATAGTTATACCAATTTTCCAGAAAAGAGACTATAAATTATAGACCAATCAGTCTAACCAGCACTGAGAAGAAGGTTGGGGAAAAGATGGATTGTATAATTCATAATTATGCTCCTAACTCTTACAGTACTTTGCTTGCCTAAGCAAGTTGTGAAAGATTGAGTTACCTGGCCTGCTTCTCTTGTCTGTGGCCTGAATTATTTTCCAGCATGTGCATGTGGGATGAGAGTATGGTAAGGCAGGCAGAATACAGTTAATTATATATTATACAGTTTTACACATTATAGTGTGATTATATTTCTATAAGTATAAAGACTATATTTGTAAATAGTGCATATACATAGTCAGTATTAAGAGACTGTGATGAAGTTGACGGCTGAGGCAAAGTTGAACTCTGTAGATGCAGAATTGGTATCCAACAAACTTAAATCAAAAGTAGCCTTTCTATTCATTCTAATGAGAATATTTATCCAGTATTGTAGAGCACATATATCCCGTCCTTCATGTTCTAAAACCGCAATTCACAAATGAAAAACTTAGAGTCCAAGATAAAACACGTCAAAACGCCATAATTGTAATCCAGAATTAATAGTCCACAAAAAGTATTCTACACAGAACCAAAAGTTCAAGTATAAAAGATAATTGATGAATAAATACACAAAAACTTAGCGCTGAATAAAAAATAAATTCTTGGATACAAATATTTGAAAAAGAACGCATGTAGTATAGCAAGATTACACGTCAAAACATGAATCAGAAACCAAGAACGAGCTGTGTTGCACAAAGACAAATGTGAGAGAAATAAACTTTCCTCTTCAAGTGTTTGTTTGACCTGCACACTGACCCAATACTACCCAGTCTGCTTTGTGTTGCAGCCACCCTAGTGGCAAGCCCAATGCAGAGGTGGGAACCTGTTCCAATTTTCTCTTGAACTTATGCAATATTTATTTCAGAATTGAAGGCAAGAGCTAAGTAATACCTTGAGGAAGCACTGGGAGACATTACAAGTCGATAGTTTGCACTTAATCAATTCATACAGAAAGCAGACATTATCTTACAATGAAAATATTCAGCATTGATCCTCAGGGTGTGCCCAACCCACACCAGACTAGTGCTGGAGGAACGGAAAACTCATGCGTGATATATACATCATTAGTGCTCAAAAGGTTAACAATAACTTAATTCCAAAACAATTCACATTGAATTTTTGAAATTTTCCAAATTCCAGAAGTTTTAAATCAAAATAGGATCTATGCATTGTGGTTAGAAGCACTTTGTTCTATTCAAGCAAAACATTTGAAGAAAATATGTGAATCTCTGGCATATTTCCCCCTATTCCAAGAAAAAAAAGTTAATATGTGTTTCAAGCACAAGAACCAGCAACATCACCCAAATTGATTAAGGAATAATTATTTTCGTGAAAATCCTATGAACTGTTTAACTGCTATTGTTGTTCACATAAGGCATTTTGAGGGGGAGAGGGTGTTTTTTTAAATCAAGGGCTCCCAAAATATGTAAGTTGACTATAGTATGTATACAAGACAAATAAAGTATGTATAGAAGCAAGCTTTTTCAGTATCAGGGACCCACAAAATGTGTTTTTGTAAAAAAGAAAAAGCACCTACTGTTCCCTGTATTATTATATAACTTTTTCTATATGTAGTATACAAGAAAGTAAAAATAGGTGTATTATAGTTACACAATTATGAAAGTTCTCTATGTTGTACCCCAATTTGACATGATAACTGTATCAGCTGCAAACCAGAAACGCAACGGACCCAAAATTAAACTTAGAAAATGAAGGACAAAAAAAGGAGGACAATTACAATCATATTTCATAGACTATGAGTTGTAAACAAGTGGAGTCTATTCCCTGGAAGTTCTGTTGAAAGAGAAACTCTCACCAGCTTTGAAAATAGTCTGGACAATCATAATTAGATGACTACATGAGTTATAATAAAAACAATATTAATAACAGTGAATTACAGTGATGTTGTGAAATGCAAAGAATTACATATTAGACCATTTTTGTAGTTAATGTATGGTATCGTAGAAATATATATAGGCTTATGGTAATTGGTTACCAACAATAGAAAACACTACAATGTAAGACTTGTGTATCACCTTGTATATGCTAACATAAATACATATCTCTGTGGAAGTAAACAGAATAATTATTTACCATTTGAGGCAATTACACTACAAGAATATGCAGCAGATAAGAGATATGTTTTTCAATTTGGGCCTTTTAACGCTTGAAGTGCTGTCTACTCAGTAAATTGAAAATTAATATGCTGAAATAATCAATAACTCTTTCTGTCCTCCTTAGATTAAAGTCATTTAAGTTCAATATGAAATTACCCATCTCCCTCAAATTATTTTTTAACAGAGAGCACCCAGGAATCTGTACCCATCTTCTCCACCCAAGGATATCATTTCAACATCTTTGTATTTTTAGCTGGTTTCTATTACTTTCTTGATTATCTTGATATTGTTTAATAGTTATAAACATTCATATTTCGAAAAAAAATATTAATGTTTAATAACTATAAACATTTATATGTTGAACAAAATATTTTATATTTAATGAAATATGCAAAGCAAAAGAATGTGTATGACATTATAAATAATGCTTTGTAAAAGAAATTAACTAACCAAACAGCTGAAAAGTACTCAAGTGTACCAACTGAAATATTTTCTCTACAATATAACCAAGTCTGTAAAGTCAACACCATAATCATCTGGCATTTCATTCTCATCATCAGACATGTTATCATCAAAGTTTTCTTGGAAACCATTACAAATTATAACTCACAAATCTGAAGGATCTCAGCAGAAGACGTATATGGTACACATTTCGGATACTTGACTACACAATGAATACAAGTAATCACAGTTTGGACGAACAGCACACCCTCAAAAGTAAATTGAATTAACTTAAAACAATCCTGTCACAAATTGTGTTGTATTTTTTTGGATCAAGAAATCAAATGTGAAAAATGAAATGATACACACTGTAGCACATCACAGGAAATCTTGCAATAACAGACAAAGATGGTTAGTGAAATGAACAAGAATCTGGAACAGACCCAAGGAAACTATCGAAATGACATCCATGGGTGGAATAGGGTAAAACATTGAATACAAATTAAAGTTTTATAGATTTAAAAAAAATTCATATACCTAATGTAACACATCCAATAATGATGAAGACCTGTAAAAGATTGTGATCCTAAAGACAAAACTCAAATTATATTACAAAATGAAATGCTGCCAGAGTTGAAATGACACCTTTCAATGTTAGTAGTAATCCACTAAGGATTTTTTCAATACTTCTAATGAACAACAATATCATACCAATATTTAGACTAATTGAAAACATAGTGATATAGTAAACATACATACAAATTTCATATCTAAAACAATCTATAACAAGAAACGATTAAAAATGAAGTATTTCAAGACATTTCATTCCAAAAATAACTTGAGTGAATGTTAGCAAAAATTGCAACGGATATTATCTATTCATTTTTTTAATGTAAATAGTGCATTAGTATTCAAAGGCAAAGCACAATTGGTAATGCAAGTGTGTAACATTTTTATTTTGCGAAATCTTTTAATAACACATGCATAAACTTACAGCAGCCGTTTTGGTGATGGGTGACGATGCATCTTTTTTAACTGTTTCTGCATCTCCAGTATGTTGATCAGTGACTGAATGAGTTTTATTCTCTTCAGTGTTCTTGTTTCGGTATTTCAGAGAAGAATCATGCTTTTCCTCTGCCTCATGGCTATTATCCTGAGTAATCCCACCATCTGACTTAATTTCCATTTCTTGGAATGGATTTGATTCATGAGCAGTAAAGGATGAAAAGGCAAATGGTTGATCAGATACAGTGACATTAAATGGATTAGTAGCTGATGGTGAAGTAGCTTCAGATGCCAATTGTGAAATGGACATGGGAGTAAGAAATGGATTATTGAAAGAGAAGGTACAAAACTGAGAATTAGAATTTTCATTTTTGCTGTCCATAAGAAGTGGTGACTTCAAGGGGGCAGCTGCCTCTGAATTAGATAAATTTACCAATAATGATTTGTTAGCAAGAGTGGAATTGCTCATTGCATCAGAGGCAGAAGAAGGCAAAACAACTTGTTCTAATGTGCCATGATCAGACCATGAAAAATGTGTTACTGTGACCGGTGTCACACTTCGCCGATGTGGATTGAATGGGCCGAGACCAGGATCAGCAGAATCAGTAACTTCAGTGCCAGTACTTATATCCATCTCCACTAAACTGGCAGCAGGAGAGCTAGCACCACCCAAAGGCAATGTCAGTTTATCACCACCCTACAACAAAAATATTCACAATCCACATATTACTGAAGAGTATATTAGTGTCTTGTATGCAAATCAAGATTCAGGTCTGTTGTTGACTAGTACAGAGATGTGTATTTGTAATGAACTATACTTATACACAAGTATCTTATTCTAGAACAATCAGCAACCTGCTCTCAAGAATTCAGAGCACCTTAACGATAGAAATGGCTAGATTCACAATTGATTACTTCTTCTAAAGCAGGTTTTAAAATTAAAGTTTAAAAATGAACAGTATGGGATGACTAAATGATGTACAGTGAAACCGCTAGACAAATCCACCTCTTTTCGAGACCAGTCCACCCTTCAATTCTACAGAACATAGTAATTATTCTATAACACCAACGTATTTTTACCTCCTTAAAACATAACCTCTTTCCAACCAATGACCACAAGATTTTTCGTAATGTAATATCACATTCCCAAGACAACTACAAACCTTGCACTGAAATAAAAAATGTGAAAGTTCATTTACTACTGCGAGCCAATCAGTTTCTGGTATCTTTCAGATAGGGCAACAGCGATCAGGGGCATAAGATTTCATGATAACGCCAAAGGGGACACCAGGGCCTTCAACTCTCCATCAACACAGGGGACAAAGCTTGAGGGTGCTACTCTAGAAGGCGCTAGTGTCAGGTACAGCTGCACGTTAGACTTGCCAACTTCTGCACAAAAAAATTAGCTCATTTGTGAGAAATAAGGAGAGTGTCTTTTAAATGTTCAATTATTCATAATATACACATATAAGAAACTCCTGAAGAAACCGCAAACATCAGCGCTTCTTTCGTAATATCGTGGGCCTGCTTGCAACCCGCAAACTCGCGCAGCAACCACGCACATTTTAAGTATTGTTGGCAGTAGTTTGTGTTATAGGAAGAAGCTGCTGCAGAAGAGCATGCCATCATAATGGTTTCCACCACGTTAATGGGAGTTATAAGGCCCTGGAGGAGACCTTCCAGGAAATGTAGAGAGACTTTGCATTATAAAGTTGAACAATAAATTCAAAGAAGCAAAATAATACTTCTGGATTATGATAATCAGGAGACCACCTTATGTCAATAATGTATTACCTAAAGGACAATTCTTAAAGTACACAGTACTATACTTTTTACTCCCCATCCCATACTCCCAGCACCCCTCTAAAAGACCAATTTTAAGGCATTAATCATGTAGTTGACTTAAAGAGGTTGCACGGTCTTTACAATTTACAAGTGAGATCTTTCAAGTGCAAATAATTTATAGATACTTACTTGTAAATCCGGAGCATAAGAAATGTAAAAAGATCTTGCTTGGCATGACACTTTTCTGATGATATAATTTTTGTAACGTATGAAGTGTTCTTAGGCAATTCTCACTTTGTTAAGAAATGACATCTGCCAGAGAAATCTAATCGCATTACTTTTAGATGCTTTATTATCAAATAAATATTTCATGATAGGGATTTATGAGGTAAATCAACTGACCCCATGAGTAACTGACCCACTGACCCCAAAGACTCAACCAACAAAAGAAAAGCAGGCCACTTTCACAGAACATTTAAGAATTTCTTGAAAAAGTGTCAATTTTGTACAATTTTTTAAATGCAACTACTGCATGTAACAAATTCTAAAAATATGATATTTTATAAGAGCTAACATTGGTAGAAGAGACTTGAGAGTTATCTTGCATTCCTTCTCTGCCAATCAAGGGACACCCGCCCTCCACCTATTGGCCGCCGATGCGCCCAATCGGCCCAAACGCCTTTCCTATAAGGTGAGACATTCCACCCTCTTGGCAGCAGTAAGCTGTCAGTACAATTGACCAAGACGCGTCTCATTCCGGATAACCAAGAATGCATTGACTCCGGCCGCGGAAGCCTACGAACGCATATTGAGAGTTAGCTTGATACATCCAGAACACTATCAATTATCTACTTGGTTTTGTACCCTATTATCGTCTCCATTAACCCTTTCGCTGCTAAAGTCGCATACAAGCATCAAACTTTTCTGTGCTCCCTGTGCTAACACCACCTTTAGGTGCCTGTCCAGAGTCACTTCCGCTGCGCCGATGATGTCTTGAAGTGTTTTTATCCTTTGTGAGGCTGTCTTTTGCTTTTGCTTTCTTTTGAATGGCTGAGAACCTAAAGGACGTGTGATGATTCTTGTTCCTTTTGTAAGGATCTGAATTTTAGCCTGAACACACCTAGAGTGTCTAGAAAGTGGTAGAGTGAAAATTATACTTGCTACAAATTGACTAGTAAATTGCTAGGCTGCCATGGGACAGTCCTCGCCACCCAAAAGGGGTTGGCATACATCTCAAAGGACGCCCTTTCCTAATGACCATAATAAAACTTTCTCTAGTGTTTTCGGGTAAGAAGTACCACCTTCACTTTGTGTTGAAATTTCTTGCTGCGAGTTTTTTCTTATTTACATGCATAACAATATGAATATTGGCTTCTTTTGTGGACAAAACAGGACTCAATGAAGGATGTTCAATTTTGGATTTCTTGTTTTTTACAATTCACAGTGAATGAAAGTAATTAATTTTATCAATATGCATTGCAAACAACTGAAAAATCTCATTTGCAGTTAACAACATGGAGTGGTATGTCTTATGATGAAATGTAAGTTTTCTTGGCAGTATGTTTGTTCAGGCCAAGAATAAAAAAACTTTCACTAATAGAATATTGGTCAAAAGATCCCCTTCTTACAATTCCTATTTTCGGGGAGATCATGTCTCGAGATAGGTTTTTGTTGTCACTGGAAAGACTTTGTTTCAGTATCAATAATATAGGTGATGGCGGCGATTGCCTTTTCAAAATAAGAGGGGTCATAGATGTCATTCACAATTTCCTCTTTTGGGAAGTTGTGCATCAATGAAAGTCTCATCTTGTTCCAGGCTGATTTTCAGTATATCTCTTTAAAACAAAGTAAACTTGGAATCAAACTCCAAGTGCTGTGTGATTTTGAAAGGTAAATGAACCTCGATTTTTTTATTCACCGTGAGTAACAATTCTTTTGTGAGGAGTGTAATGTGCATCTGAGAGACTGATTTTAAAAGCATCAAAATTTTTTAAAAATGAAAACAAATTAACAAATGAAAAAAACAAATATATATTTCTAACTATGCCAGTGATGGTCCTAAGCCCACATAAAATGAACGATAGGAAATATGCATGTTTGTCTTGTGTAGCGTCTGTTACCCTGTCAGTATATGCCCATAGGAACCAGGAAAACGAGCCACACACGGTGGTCACTGACCACTGTGGTGGGTTAGCGCTAGGCGGCAATATGTTGGGTGCGGTCAATAGCAGCAAAACGGTTAACTTTAAATAGACTAAAAACATTAAAAAGTAATTACTGCATTGGGTATTTGCAATAGGCACACACAATACTCATCAGAAAAGATTTTCTGCTAAAGAAACCTGTTTTTTGCTGAATGGAGAAGCTATTTGTCTAAGTAGTTGCAAACAAGACAGGAGAGGATGTGAATTCAGTTGTATCCTTTTGCAATAACTTATGACTTCTAGTTTGCAGATATGCACTTATTGCCATTTTTCTAGAAATGTCACTTGTACCATTCTCCATTGCAGCCACACACTATATATATATATA